AGCTCAGCCTCCAGCTCTCCCCCGACTGGGGCGCTGCTGCCGCCATCAGCCACGCTCCCGCCTGCCTCCCTGATCTGGCTATGCTCCCCGACCGGGAACGTTGGTCTTTTCCTCCATGAATAGTCGTCACCCACCTCGCCCTCGAAAGCTCAATTCGCGTTTGCTTTCCTCCTGGAACTATCTCGGATCCTCTTCCCTCGGCTCCTCCTCAATCCATGTAGTGTGCTCCAGGCCTCGGTACTCCGTGTGCTTGTTCTGTGTCGGAGTGTGGACGCACGAGAGGACACAGGAAGCCTGGGGCCCCGGCTGCCCAGGGAGGCTGACTCCAAGGCACTGCAGGATTTGGAACTGAGCCTCAGCTGTGTAACCGATTTCCTGTGTCAGGACCTGTTCCCCAGCCGCCCAGCTGACCTGGAGCAGGTGTCCCTGTGTAAGAGCTGCCCCCCCAGCCATCCATCTGACCTTGGGAACAGGTGTCCCTGTGTAAGAGCTGCTCCCCCAGCCACCCATCTGACCTTGGGAACAGGTGTCCCTGTGTAAGAGCTGTTCCCCCAGCCACCATCTGACCTTGGGACCAGGTGTACCTGTGTAAGAGCTGTTCCCCCAGCCGCGCAGCTGGCCTGGCACAGGTGTCCCTGTGTAAGAGCTGTTTGCCCAGCCACCCATCTGATCTTGGGAACAGGTGTCCCTGTGTAAGAGCTGTTCCCCCAGCCGCCCATCTGACCTTGGGCACAGGTGTCCCTGTGTAAGAGCTGTTTGCCCAGCCACCCATCTGATCTTGGGAACAGGTGTCCCTGTGTAAGAGCTGTTCCCCCAGCCGCCCATCTGACCTTGGGCACAGGTGTCCCTGTGTAAGAGCTGTTTGCCCAGCCACCCATCTGATCTTGGGAACAGGTGTCCCTGTGTAAGAGCTGTTCCCCCAGCCGCCCATCTGACCTTGGGCACAGGTGTCCCTGTGTAAGAGCTGTTTGCCCAGCCGCCCAGCTGGCCTGGAGCAGGTGTCCCCATTAGAGGACCTGTTTCCCCAGCCGCCCAGCGGATGAGCAGGGCTCTCGCACTTCCTCGCCTTCCCCACCCCTCCCTGACTTTCTCATTCCTTGGGGCTCACATCGTCACTCATTGATTAGACCCTTTCCATCCTCTTTTCCTGCCCTAGATCTGCAGCTCTATTTTGGTTCTTTGCCAAAGGCCAGCAAGCTTTGCCCTCAGAGAAAAGCATGTGTCCCTGCTGATAGCAGCTCCAGAAGCTAAACGCCTGGCCGCCACCTCCCCGCCCTGCTGGAGCGCCCTGGGTGCCCCTGGCACAGCCCACAGCCCCCGGCCCCGGCCTCTCTGCCATCGCAGACCTCCTGGCAGATTGTGGCAGCCTCTGTTAGTCACTTTATTATTCATGTGGCCCATTTCCCCGCCAAGGGCAGCCCACAAGGCACACTCGATCCTGCACCAGGAAACCAGGCACCTCCCCGATGTGTGTGCGCTCGACCTCCGGCCGCACCTACCTTGCCGAGCCTTTCGCTTTACTGGGGCGCCTCACTGGGCCAGGAACAATGGGGCCTTGGAATAATAGGACAGTCCCCGCAGGGCCAAGGCCGCTCTCCAGGCAGGGGCATGGGTGGCACAGCACACAGGACGTTGGCAGCAGCTTCTGAGCTGTGCCTGGCAGGCTGGAGCCAGGGCCTCACACAGTTAGTCTGAGAGCGAGCAATGTGTCATGGCAACTCTCTGCATGGCAGCCTCCTCACCTGTAAAGTATAAGTGTGCCAGCTCCGTCCGGCCAGCCTCACGGGGTGTGGCAAGGATCAATGGGAACAGTGCAGCCTGGCTGGCATGGCACCCCCGACACTGGGCACCGTGATTTCCTGCTTCAGTGGGGGGTGCAGGAGGCCGCCCGTCAATGAGTCTCTCTCATCGTTGATGTTTCTATCTCTCCCTCTCCCTTCCTCTCTGAAATCAATTTTAAAAAATAATTTTTTTAAAGAGAAATAGCCCTGGCTGGTTTGGCTTAGTGGATAGAGCATTGGCCTGTGGACTGAAGGGTCCTGGGTTCGATTTCGGTCAAGGGCACATACCTGGTTGCAGGCTCCCGGCCCTGGTTGGGGGCACTCGGGAGGCAACCAATCGATGTGTCACTCTCACATCAGTGTTTCTCTCTGTCTCTCCCTCTCCCTTCTACTCTCTCTACAGATCAATGGAAACACATCCTCAGGTGAGGGTTACAGAATGAAAAAGAGACACGGTGCGCGTGGGGGCTCATTGGAGGACACTCTGCTCTGGCTACGCCAAGTGTGGTCCGTGGGCCGCAGTGTCAGCATCACCTGGGAGCGTGTCGGCATGCAGGGCCCCAGCTCATTGGGGCGCTGTGTTTCTCTGTGTGGGTTTTCACTGAGACCCCCAGGCGGCTTATGTAGGAAGCACTGTGATATGCAAACACACATGTGCTCTGGCGGGAGGAACGTGCAGTTTGGATCCTGGAGCTTTTAGTTCAAACTCAGCTCTGCCCCTGACCGCCTTCGTGGCCTTGGGAAAGTGCTGGAGCTTCGGCTCCTCTGCTGGAAAACACTGTCGCACGCTGTCGCACGAGACTGGCCGGTGGCTCAGTGGTTAGAAAGATTGAGGGTTGGATTCCGGTCAAGGACATGGACCTCAGTTGCAGACTGAATCCCTGGTCCTGGTTGGGGCGCGTGTGGGAGGCAACCAATCAATGTGTCTCTCTCACATCAATGTTTCTCTCTCTGTGTCTTTCCCCGTCCCTTCCACTCTTTAAAAATCAATGGGGGAAAATGTGGGATGAAGAAGAAGAGAACAGAGGTCAGAGCGCCCAGGTCCCTGGTGGGGCAAAGGGGAAGTAAGGGGTCGGGGAGGGACTCTAGCCCACGGAGAAGACAAATGAGGGAGATGAGCAGGAGCAGAGCAGAGTGTCCTCCGCCTGCCTGTGTCACCTCCACGCCATCTCTTTCCAGTCCCCACGGCCACTTGACATGGATGCTCAACGGAGCTGTTGACCAAAGGCAGCTGAGAGTGGACGGCTCCCACCTGGTATCAGACCTGAAGGCGACAGCCACTGCAGATGGAAGTTAAAGGCCTGGGGCCTCAAGAGTCCCCCGTTTCCCCGGGCTGGAGGGTCTGCAGGCTGCCCCCTAGCCACTGAGCATCCCATGTGCGCCACCTGGAGGCCCAGGACTGAGGGCAGCAGGTGAATGGTGTGGGAGGGAGGAACCATGAGCTGCTGATTTTTTACTAAGCAAACTTTTTTTAAAATATATTTTTATTGATTTCAGAGAGGAAGGGAGAGGGAGAGAGAGAGAGAAGCATCCATGATGATAGAGAATCATTGATCGGCTGCCTCCTGCAGGTCCCACACTGCAGATGGAGCCTGAAACCTGGGCATGTGCCCTGACCTAGAACCGAACCGTGACCTCCTGGTTCATAGGTCGATGCTCAGCCCCTGAGCCATGCCAGCCGGGCCTATTAGACAAACTTGACACAACTTGAAGCTGCGTACACTTGAGCTGTGTTTCAAAGTTTCCAGCCATGTTGGGAAACGGACTGCGTTGGGTCGCCAGGATCCCGTCCAAGTAATTACCCGGCAGAGGGAGTGTCATGGCACAGACGCCAGTGCCGCGTTTCAGGGGGTAAAGACCCCCGCTTTCAGGGCTGTGGCGAGCCAGCCGCCAGACGGCGCCGCCCTTGGCACGGCTCCTTATGAGAATTCTCGCAGCTGAACCGGAAGCTTCACTGAGGCCCGGGGGCTCTGCGGGGCCTCAGCCTGACAGCTGCGTTGTAAGGGCTCTGCTAGTCCATGTGTCCAGCCCACGGACGGAGCCCCGGGCCCTGATCCGCCAGGTCCCGAGTCCTGGCTGCTGGAGCTTTTGGTGTTGTTGTTTGTTTTCAGAAAAAGCTCGCCTATTTTTTTCAAGGACACACGTCGTGTGGCCCTGGGTGCTTTCTGCCCTCAAAACAGAGCCTCTGAGGAAATCAAGTTAAGGACATTCTCAGAGACAGTAGTTTTATAGTTTTTAATATATTTTTTATTGGTTTCAGAGAGGAAGGGAGAGGGACTGAGAGATAGAAACATCAATGATGAGAGAGGATCATTGATGGGCTGCCTCCTGCACGCCCCGCACTGGGGAGCCCGCAACTCGGGGAATATGCCCCGACCGGGAACTGTACTGTGACCTCCTGGTTCATAGGTCGATGCTCCACCACTGAGCCACGCGGGCTGGGCGCACAGACAGTAGTTGTAGATGCCCCTGAGTGCGCCTTCCAAACCTGGGCGATGGACAGGTCAGCATGTGGGTCAACTGGACAGGTACTTCTGAGCACTGCCCGGTGCGGGGGATTGAATGACCACCCCCAGCTCTTCACCCCTTCCGTATTCACACCCTTGCCACGGCCTCATTTGGGGCAGAGAAATTCCCACTCCTTGATTTGGAGCTTGACCGTGCGCTTGCTTGGGCCAGTGAAACGGAATGCCAAGTCCCAAGCCCAGGCCTTCAGACCTTCCGGTGGCAGCTGCTGTGCCGCCACTCTGCCACGGGAGGGCGGGCACAAGCAGGAATCGCGCTCTCCCAAAATCCCGCCCTCAATTCCTCCCGACCCAGCAGGGTAGCAGCAGGTGTTCGAACAGGGTGGCACCCGGGCCTCCCGTGCTTGGCCTGCTGCCCAGAGCTGAATTAATTTATTTAATACTTTAATTCAGTTTGTTTTTTTCAGGTTTTCCATTTCTTTTGGGGTCAATCTGTCCCTTTTCTTTATACTGTCAAACAGAGGCGTAGAGTTGTTTATAATTTTCCCTCGGTCTCTTTTAAATCTGATAAAGTACTCTTGTTCTTGATGATGCTATTTTTGTTTTCTCTCACCTTTTTATTTCATCAAAGAAAACTCTGGCCAGAGCCTTAACGTGTTATTCAAATGAAAGTTGAGATTGCTCCTTCTTTTCTATTGTGTGTGTTTTCTATTTCGTTGATTTCTGCCCTTATCTTTATTTCTTTTCCTCCACGTACTCTGGATTTAATTTGCTCTTCTTGATTTGGAAACATAATTCATTTTAAATCTTTCTTTTCTTCTAATACAAACACTTAAAGCTACACACAAAAATATTTCTGTGTGCCGATTTGGTCGCATCCCACACATTTTGGCGTGTTATCTTTATCCATTCAAAATAGGTTCTAATTTCACTTGCGATTTTTTTTACATATACATCTTTTTTTAATTTTTCATCTTTTTTTTAACTGTAAGAGAACATTTATTGGGTAGATTACAGAAGTAGAAAAAGTAATTTCTAGAAGAAATGGGCTCAGGAAACAGGTTCTAGAGGCCAAGGAAGGACACTTGGGGCTTGGGAGTGAGGAGCTGATGGTATGTTGCCTGGGGCCAGAGAGGGAGGGGGAGGGGGAGGGGAGGGGCAGGAGCAGGGAAGGGAAGGGAAGGGAAGGGAAGGGAAGGGAAAGACACAAGCATGCTCCCAGGAGGGAAAGCGCCTAAATCTACATCTTTTTGAAGATATCTTTTTCTTAATTTCAGAGAGAGGAAAGGAGAGGGAGAGGGAAATGGAAACATCGATGGAAGAGAAACATCTATCGGCTGCCTCCTGCACACTCCCCTCCTAGGGATCCAACCCTGTGACCTACTGGTGCATGGGATGATGCTCCATCCACTGAGCCACACTGGCTGGGCTCAGTTGTGGTTTTTTAATTTGCCCCATGGATTATTGAGAAGTATGATCCTCGATTCTCATCTATCTGAGGATTTCTATATGTTTATTGTTATTGATTACTCATTGAAAAGCTCTGTGGTCAGATGATGTACTCTGTATATGTTTGAACTTCTGAAATTTATGAGACTTATTTTATGACCCAGTATGTGGTCTATCTTGGTGAGTGGTCTATATGCTTTATACAGTCTGACAATCTCTGTTTTATTAGTGTGGCTTTTTAAAAAATATATTTTTTCATTGATTTCAGAGAGGAAGGGAGAGAGAGAGAGAAACATCAATCATGAGAGAGAATCACTGATTGGCTGCCTCCTACACACACACACTGGGAATCGAGCCCGCAACTTGGGCATGTGCCCCGACCAAAAATTATACTGTGACCTCCTGGTTCATAGGTTGACACTCAACCACTGAGCCAACCTAGCCAGCCAGGTGACAACCTCTGTTTTTTGCATATTTAGTTCATTGATATTTAAATAATTATCAATATGGTTGGATTTAAGACTACTACCTTGATTTAGTTTTTCATTTGTCCCATATACTCTTTGTTCCTCCACTCATCCTTCCTGCCTCATTTTGAGTGAATTGAGTATCATGTAGTATGCCATTTAATTATTCAACTAACCTTTTAGCAAAACCTTTTTATGTTGTTTCTAGTGTTTTTTCTAGCAATTGGAACATGAAATTTTAAGTTATCACATTCTATTTTTAACTAATCATACATTCCAGTAACTCTCCCCTGCTTCATGCTCTTGTCACATACTTCACTTCTGCGTGTTATAACCAATACACGGTCATTATTTTCAATCATTATTTTTAAGACTATAGTCACATGTGTGTATAAAGGTAATGCAAAAGGTCCTTTATATTCACCTACATATTCACCCTTTCCTATGCTCATGGTTCCTTTATGCACATCCAGGCCTCCAGCTGGTATAAGTTTCCTTCAACCTGAAGAATTTTTTTTTCAATTTCTAAAAGCGTGCATCTGCTGGCAAAAAATTCACTAAACTTTGGTTGATCTTGCCT